AAGGCAAAAAAAAACATGCAATCCCGAGTAACAACAAAAAATTGCGTTACATTACATATATAATAAAAAGAAAAAAAAGGCGTGTTAATAATTAAATTGTCAGAGCTATTTGCTGCCTTGACTCGCTCATATAAGCATCTTATTATATTGAAGAAACATAGACGAAAAAAGCCAAGAGAAAAAAAAATAAACTCCATTCAATCCCACACACATAATATTAAATTACTATGGTGTACGGCTTAAGGCAAATCCAATAGTATAGTATATAGCGAGCCTCAGTAAAACAGCTGAAACTTTCACTTTCAATTTACCCATTTCTCTGCAGATAAATAGAAACAAAAAAAAAAAAAAAAACAGATTGACTTAAAGATACAAGAGAGAGAGCTTAACGAATAGCTTGGCCTCATTGAAAGCAAAGCAAAGCAATGAGTTTTCGATGATCTCGTATTCCGTATGCGTTTGTTATAATTCGCTTCAGTTACATATTATGAAATCTCGTCCAATAAAAAAAACTCAAGGAAACTAAATAAATGAGAAAGTTATCTTCGATTTGAGACGAATTTCGGTTCCTCAACCTCTCCAATAAATATATAAAAGTTGTTACCATTTGGATGCACACAATTTCGGGCACGTCCCGTAAATACCACTTCTTATAACTACTTTTTTAAATTTGTTTGTTTTGTTTCTATACGGATCACGCCTACTTCTAAGTTTGATCTTTACGCATTCACTAGCAATATTTTATTATATGCCGGGTTTCGGCTGCCTACTACGCTTTTTACAGGGGCGGGGTGTATTGAAAAGGACGGACATATGGACGAACAAAACTAGATCACCTTAGAATCTTCAGAAAACCCCAAAAAAAAGATGCCCGAGGGATTTGACTCAATCTACGCACTATGATCAACAATTACGCGTATTTGTGATTAATTTAAGTGCTATGATAAAATAAGTCTTCTATGAAAGTAAGATATTTTCAAAGCAAAACAAGACAGAGGTCATAAATGATTTAAATCAAATGACTTACTACTCACTACTACCTAAATCATAGCTTGGTTTTGCAATATTTGCTCGAATCGCTCAGCTACGAGATGCGAATGCTACCGTTGCACAAACATATTAATTACGCGCTTACAATGAGACGAGAAGCAAAAGACTTAAGAAAAAAGCCAGTTTGATACAATCTATGCGCATTTCTTTTTTGTATGTATTTCTCTCATTTCTTCATGATTTACTCGAAATCATCTTTAATCATGAATTCAACCAACAGCTGGTCGTTGGTTTGGCCGGCTTGTCTATTTAGGACATTTTGCAATCGAAAATAAGAGCTTCAATGTCACGGCTGTTATGTTACGTTGCCAACCGGTATTTTTAGTAGTTTTCAGTTTACTTTTGTTTTTTTTCTTTTTGCGTTTTTTCTCTTTTTATAACTGCCTTTGTAACTTTATGTACTGTTACATCATATGTCTTTAAATGAATAGTCAACTTTTTTTTTTATAAATTTCTTGTTTTTTGGTAATAATGATCATCATCTTAACCGGTATATATACATTCGTATATGGACTTTCATTTAACAAACATGTTCCAAAATTAGTGAACAAGGAAGTGACCATAAATTAGCACAACATAATCGTTCAGTTATAAACAGTTGCAATAATAGTGAAAAAAAAAGGTCTTTGAAATGCATGTTATGTGTTATGCGAACACGCACACGCTCATCTCAAACACGCAGATGTTTGATCTAAAATGAAAATACTTTTGCTAAACGATATTTCAAAGGTTCATATTTTATCATTTAACTTTTATCTTTAACATGAACTTATATTTAAGTTGAAGTTTATTATTCATTTTTTTGCACTTCCCCCGCCAGTTGTGCTACATAAAGAACGAAGAAGATATAAGGAGAATTGAACTTTCTTTGTTAATGTTTATCGAAGTTGAAAATTAGCGTCTAAGTCAGTCAGCCAGTGCAAGATGTATGTCTGTCCATCCTTTTAGCATTACGCTTTTTAATTTCGTGTTTTAATGCTTATTGCTACAATCTTTTATTTTTATGCTAACCACTCTAATAGCGATGTTGTGAACACTATCGCAGAGGCATCACAAGTCACAAGAATTTAACAAGACTAATATCGGAGCTTTTTCTTATACTTTCTGAGGAATATCGATATTAATACAAAATCGGCGCAACTGTGACAAAAATACATACACACTAATTTATATGACCGATCACAATGCCAGAATAAGCCCTTAAGTAGTACATCCCAGATTTGTCATTGCGCTTCGAAATGCGTGCTGAAGATCGTCCAAAGTATATATATCTCCGGTAAACCTTGAAAAGCTTCTGTGTCGATTAAGACATCTCTCCCTATTTATTTATATATATATATATTATCCTGCAGGGTCCCTTTGCTCTCAAAAAATACAATAAGCTAAAATTGGGCACCTATGAGGACCACCCACAAGTTGCCAATAAACACTTATAATATAGCTTGAAAATGTTATCGCCAACAACTGCAGTCCACTGCTCTTTAAGTAAGTAACTGCCATCTAAAAAATAGTTTAAAAACCAGCACTATTGAAAATAGGTTGAATTGACCCAGTTTTAGCAACACTTCCCACATAAAAATCTTATTAGGAAAACATTTTAAAAAAAGGTCTTAACAAAAGTCGCAGAGAAGTATCATTTTGCCAAAGCAATTGCCAAAGTGAAAAAAGGAAAAATTTCTGAGGACTCCCGCATAAAATTATGAGCCGAACGACAGGAAAGTTTCGATAGACAGCCTTAGAATCACATGTCCGTTTATTCTTTATAACCTCTGACCGTCTGAACTTTCGATTGCATTACAATAACATATTATTCCCTTAAAAAATGTAATCGTCGCCTAACGTTCGCCTCATTACACAAAAGTATCTGACTTTGACTAGATGGTTAAAAATATTACTTTCTGTTGCACAAAAGTGAGCTGTGACCATGTTTTGAACCCTTTCGCAACGAAATACTCGCAAAAAAAATGTATCTTCTTCGTAGGACAGGAGAATTTCATTTTTATTATTTTGTGATGGGAACTGAGTCGCCCAACTGTGATAAATTCAAGCTACAAGTTAAAGATGAAAAAAAGCAAGGTCTGCCAAAACAAACACTCCTCAAGTGATAGTAAACATTATAAGGTCAGATATCGCGCATAATACCTTGAAAACTACCTTGAAGGAACCTATATATCAATGTTAATTTATCGGCCGATTACAGTTGTTTAATTATTGTTTCGAATTGTTATTGACACAAAAACTATGCACTTATCTGATAATTGTTATGCAGCTAAACCTTCAACTTAAACTTCGGTTCGCTTTCTGTATCTATTTCTGTTTTTGTGTATCTTCTGCTTTCTCACTTTTTTATCAAATGTAATTAAAAGAACTAAGAAAGTTATATACACTTCGTGTGAAACGAATTTTGAATGCGTAACGTATGCAGAATATTTTTAAAATTTCATTTTTTTTTTTTGTTATTTTCCGTTTATATATATATATTATGATAACTATTCAAATACTCAAAGCTCAACTGGGAATATAGTTAATAATAAAACTCATATCATATAAAATGATTTTCGGCAAAATTTTAATTTCGACGCATATTTTCGCCAGTTCGTCGATCAATCTTTTGAAGTTATTGACAAAAACATTTATTTATTCATTTCATATCCTATGTTAAGTGCTGATTCGACATATTTCGGTAGAGACAGTAGCTTTGAAGGTGGTCCTAATTCCTAACTTGATTTCATTGGAAATTTGAAAAGAGTGAACACTTGCCTTGTGGCTTAAGCTCATGGTGCCCGCTGACACAATGGGTTATTTTAGTATGGACCGACGTTCCCCCCGTTGGAGAATGCGAAATCTACCTGCACTTTATTATCTAAAGCTCTCCAGCTTTTGAGCTACCACAGCCAGTCAGATACTTGCGGAAAGACTGTATTCAGCTGTAAGGACTCCGTGCCGTTTCTACCGAAGTATCAGCGTCGCTATTACGTTTAGGTTTCCCTCATAAATACAAGATATTCGCCTAGGTAGTTGTAACAATTGTGTGAATGAGTGTTCCGGGTCCCGTGGCGCTTTAAGCGTAAGTAAAACCTTTGGCTTTGCTTTACGCGACCGTAGTCACTCCTGCCTTTGGATTTTCCCCGACGATCCTGGATTAGCCAATCCAGATAAACCTTTTCCCAGATACATCGGCCATCGAGGTTCTAATTATCTATATCAACCTTTTAATTAGGCGTCGAGCTTCTTCATTATACATGTATAGAGGCAAATAAAGAAGAGATAATGAGAGGGGAGACGATGCTATCATTCCTGAAGAGCGTTACGAATCAGATGAAAAATTTAATATTCTCGCTTATTTTCCTAAAAGTAATATTGACTTTTAATGCAATGTTTATAAACAAAATAAAATTAGATATAAAAAACTTTAGTCATTTTTGGTCGAATTTTGGATATCACTTGGATTTCAAGATTGATAAATGAGTCTTTCTTCGCACAACTCTAATTTAGACAATTTGTTTCGAATTTCATTTTTAGTAAAGCTTGCTGTCTATTTGTTACTTTTTAAACTATGGATCGAAAAACGAAGTATGATATAAATCACCAAACTTTGATTTTCAATTCAATTTCGGTTCTTAATAATTCTGATATCATGCGAAGAGAAAAATGAGAAAATAAAAAATCTCTCGACCGCGAAATTCATCTCGAGCAACTAAACATTTAAATTACGATTCCGGCTACATATGTAGTTTTAAGTGTTACTTATGAAATAAAGAAGTGACTATGCTTTTCTTACTATTTGGCGACTATTAAAATCCAAAGCGTGACAATTGTGAATAACTTAGACGCCTAAAGAACTTAAACTTTTCAATATATATATGGCTTGAAAGAAAAGTTTTTGTATTTGATACTAGAGCAGCTTATATTACACGGTAGCTTTAGATTCGTTTCGTTTTTTATTTTTTTTTTTATTTTCATAAATCGTTGCCATTATTAAGGTCTATTTCACACTTACGTCGTAATTATATATTATTTTATTTATTTTTTTTATATCTAATAAAATACGAAATTATTTAAAGAAAATCTTCGCAAGAAAACACAAAACCAAAAGTAATTAATTTTTGTTGTTTTTTTTTTTTTTTTTTTCTCTAAAACTTTCAAATCAATAGCATTACAGGGTAGCTGAGTACACCTTTAAATTTGGCCATCTGTGTGCGTTCACTTATCTTAAAACAAGTTTATCATCGTAGCCGAAAAAACCCCGACATTAGAGCTGCAGTTAATTATGACAAAGGGAAGAGTAAATATCGCATTTTTGCTTATTTTCCATTGCATCTTAATACCACTGACAACATGCAACGAAGCACAACAATACGCAACAACATCAACAACAATGACAAATTTAAGCTCATTCACCGCAAATATTGACAATGAAAGCATAAAGGCATTGAGACCGACTGTGTTAGGCACTGAGCTACGATTCGGCCGTAATCTCAACCCGGACAAGGTACGAGTGGTAACAGTAAAATCCGATGATGGCTCGGACGTTGAAATCTTGGTGGGCCGAGATAGTAGAAAAGGGCGAGCACAACCAAGCGAAGCAAGCTTTTTCGTACGTAAAACGGACGTAGCAAGGCATCCAGAGAAAAGGACCGCGGATATGAAACCGAATGCAAGTACTTTACAATTTCAACATTCACCCGTTTTACTAAAGCAATTGGAATTAGCGCGACAAGCCAAAGAATACAATCAACGTAAAGCTGACGCGGATGAGAGATTAAAAAAGTTGCAACAATTAAAATTAATTAAAGCTGAAAGTTTTCAAGAGCAACAAAAGCAACTTTCAGAACCGAAGAAATCAAGAGCAGCTCGTAGAATTCATTTTGAAAGTGCGGCCAATCAATTTCCGCCGCAACGTTTCTCCGAAGAGCTATATTTCACGTCACCAACAGAAACTCGGCCGATTCAACGACGACAGCCTACTTATATTCCTTTAGATAGGAATAACAATGACTGGCGATTTCCCGGAAGTGAACTGAGTAATGGAAGAGAATTACGTAGCTGGCGCTGGAAACCTATCGAAAATGTGAATTTTCAATCGCAATATCGACAACAACAAGACGCGCAACAATTCTATCCATCAATAAAGAGCTTTAAGCAAGGTTTTCCCACTGATCCGCAAAAGAAGCTGCGAATAAGTGACCAACATAACGCTCGGCATACACGTTACATTGATTCGGCAACTAGTAACAGTTTCATCGAAGATTTAACAAATAATAAATATCTGCGACAAAATCTTATCACCAAAGATAATTTCATACCAACACATTATAAATCACTTCGTCTACCCGAACCGATTGTAATTACGTCATCGACTGTAGTAAAAAGTGATGCAACGGATAACATTGGAAAACCTATAAGCCCTCTTAATGAATATTCAAATTCAAATTCTTTTACGCCTATGACGTCAGCAAAAACTTCGAATGTTATGCCGAAGACGTCCCCTAGCGAATCCAAAGTTGCGGATGGCTCTGCAGTGCCCGTTATTGAGGGTATACGGGTACCTGATACACCCGAAGATGAATTGAAGACTTGGCGTAACGCACGCGTGCTTAATAATCAATTGGTACCATATCCAGCGGGCTATACGCCAGCAAAAGTCGAAATGCAAACATTCGACAGATAATTTAAGAAAAAAAAAAACAAAAAACAATGCTTTTTCTCTTTTATACTAACTTAAAGGATCACATTCGTGTCTAAATACTTACTACATAAAATTTTAAGTTTTTATTGTTATTGCTTAAGTTTACACAAAAAAAAAAAAAACAAAACGCACAAATTATTTAACGCTTAAGAAAAATGCGCGTATATATATACAATATATATACATAAAGAGAGTTAAAGAAAAACGCTTTGCTGTATTCGGTGCTCCTTTGTGATTCCCTCTCCATTGCCATGCAAGTTACGCTCCGAGGTGGCACTATCGTGTTATTTATGAGTTCATTATCAAGAAAGGTTACACCCACACTTTCCAAACACAACTTCAAGAACTTAATTCATTTTTCACAATTTGAAGACAAAAAAAACTAATGAAATCAGGTAAGTGATTTACATTTGGAACAAAATTTCATTTAACATAAGGCTTCATCATGATTGATTCATGGTGAGGCATTCAAACCTTTTGCTATATCTCTTCATGACTGGAGTGGATTTTGCTCCAAAATTGCCTTTAAAAATTTGTCATCGAACGCGGAAAGTCGTCCCTCCAGAGCGCAATTTTACAAACCAATCTCTAACTGCCCGATCGGATATTAGTGCTTCGCCATATGGGCTGTTGGTTGGTTTTAATCCCCAAAGTATTACATGTCGAATATGCATTTTTTGATTCTCCATTTCATTGATTAAAACAGGAGTTGAATGTAACATGCACCGCGTAAAACAGTTGACAAAAGAGCAACTGAATCCTCATATATTTGTAGTGTTTGGGTGACTTATAGTGAGTACACACCTGCTTCGGAAGTTATTTATGACTCCACCTAATAGTACAAGAATGTATTAATTTTGCGCGAATGTATGCAAAACGCAGAAAGCCTTAAGATAGATCCATCTTTTATTGTACCGATCGATTCAGAATCACTTTTTATATTTACCTAGGATTGTCTGTCCGTGAAACCATCTTGTTCAACCTATAGATCGCAAATCTTTAAGATTTTTTTTGATGAAATTTGTTAAACCGACATATTTTGTCACTGGAACGCATACTATTGAAAATGGTTCGAATCGAAAACAATTCTCATAAAATGCCTTTATTTTGTAAATAAGAGAAATGAATAATTGCATTAAGCAAAGTGGTGTCGGCTATTCAATGCTGCGCCCTGCCCTACTATTTTGTTTTCGATATGTTTGGGTAATATTTAAGGGAAGTCTTACCTCAATTGGACTTACAAACTTTGCAGGGATTTTTGATTTCACTTATCCAATCAGCGAAATGATGTATGAAAGCAACTAAAAGTACGCCCGCCGATGGCAAGTACAACACATGAAAACGATTGTGGAGATGAACATTTTTAAAATATTAACACAGGTCCGAGCAATCATGTTTTAAGGGCCATAATTTGTACAACAGTTGTTTCTTCCCATTTACTCGCTACAGGAACACCTTTGTTAACGGACGATCTTTTTTTCTTATAAAAGATGATTTCTTTTTTCTCGGATAAACCGAATCTTCTCTCTCGACTTTTTTGTTAAGAAAGTAGTTTAATATTCTCCTGTTATTGCTTCATCTTTTTCAAGGTAACAAATTAAAAAAAGTTGCTTTGCCATCGCTAAAAATGAACATTCGATGATTCCTTTCGCTACTTTAACAGTTTCAGAGATCAAATCTCTTAACGCTTTGCAGTTGCGAATTCATTGTTTTAGTGGCATAGCCAAATCTCATCCTTAACTAAAAATGGGTACACGAGGTGACTTGTTTTTTTTTTTTTCTGAAAACTGTCGCTGAAATTCCTGATTCATTTCACTACTGGTAGTTTATATAGATTGGATATGAAACGTCAGCATGGAATGACCATATCTAATTGGTAAGTTGAAATCCCATTCATTGATCCAATTCAAGTCAGCTAAATCGACTGCAACTAGACAAACCTCTTGAAAAATTGACGACAGTCAAATTCGATGATTTACCAAAGGACCTCTGTATATTCCGAGCATTGGCGATGAGTAATTTGTTTGTAGTTCACTTAGGGTCATATGTACATACAATAATCGCGTATACGGGAACTGCAATCATATCAAATTCTCTAACTCGCTCATTTTATTATCTAAGATCACTTGCTTCTATTTTTAACTCAATATTCAAACAATGCACGAGTTTACAACAAAACATGTCAACTTGAACTAATCTATTTTAGTTGCAACAAACTCATTGTTAAAAGTCATGATACATTCAAGGTCGAAAGTTATTAACACATGATGTACATCTGCATAGGGCACATCATCTTTTCAAGTGTTTTCTTACGGTTTGTAGACTGCAAAAAAAATTGCCTAAAAATATGGCACATAAGCTGCCGTTCCAATAAATTAAAATAAACAGAAAAGCGACGGCGTGATCGACAGACATAACCCCGAACTTGAAATTTGTGGTCAAGTTTTCTGGTAAACGATTGCGATAAACCGATCCCTACAAGAATCTCTTATCCTATTATACGCTGTAAGAACGAACCCTCTTCAAAATCATTAGCATGATTTCTTTATTACCTCTTCAAAGCTTTTCCAGCACTTCAATACTTAAAATATGTTTTTAATTATGAAGCTATGTGGCCTTTGGATTTTATTGTAGTAAATTATTAAAAAATTCATAGCACGAACATCGTCACTACTTTGAATTAAACAAATATCTGAAAGAATCGAACTTCGTCAACATCATTGACTCTGTATATTTTAGATATCGGGTCGCTCTGAATGAAATGACGAATGACTTTAAGCAGGGAACGAATCGTTTCTAAAGTGAGATCGCTGCGGTGGGGGCTAAAAGTGAAATCCTGGAATTACAAAAAGGGTTTGAAAGTGCGAGGAAACTGAGGAGGCTTAAAACGCGGGGGTGTTTAAAGAAAAGCAAACAAGTAGTGTTCAATTATTCGTGCAAATCACTTCGCATTATTTCTTGAAAGCGTTAGTTTATTTTTGTATAAATAACATAATACAATCTATATATCTATATTGTTTGCGAGGTACGACCTGGAAATAAACTGGGAAACCAATAGCTTCGTTCTACGCTTTGTTCATCGATCCAGCAAAGACCTTCGCCAATCACTTTATCCAAAGATTGTTGGGCTCGATATTCAGACCATCTGAAATATGCGAAAAATGTCGAATTTTTAGAATTCCCAGCAAACAATCTTGCAACACGCTACGTACCCCAATTGTTCCATTAACATGCTAAGCGTGACACAGCCTTGTTCAGTATTGGAAGCTATCGTTAGTATGGTACTTTCTTCCATACTCAGTTCACCCGGTATTGATTGAACTATATATTTGCCTTTGCCCATCTTATGCACTACAAAACTTCAAAATATTCCATTTTTTTGTTTCCTCAGAGGAAATCGTTTCTTGTGACACATTATTTATCACAAACTTACCCATTGCCAAATATGGTCAGCTTCTTGGCAGCCATTAAGATGTCTTCGTTTGTTATCTCTTGGTGTATAGAACTTTGACCACGAGCCGCTACCAATCTTTTTCTTAATTCACTTAATTCCATCAAGCCACCTTTTTGTAACATTGACAATTGTAAGCAGTGCATAAAAATTTCACTGGGTTTAATTTACCAGTTTTATGATTGGACGCTAAACACACTTCGACTACCTGTACACCGAGTTCGTAGTAGAAATCACCAATGCCTAAGACACTCCAAAAGCCTTTACCACTTGCTAACGGATCTACACCAATAGCGGCACACATCTCTTGAAATTGTTTACGAAATTGCGAATTCTTCTTAATATCCTGCCTATGTTTGATGGCAAATTCTTCAAGTTTTTCCCGAAACACTTCCATTTGTTTAGTCATCTGCTCAAGTTGGGATTCCTGTATATTAGTGCCTTTGTCTTTATATTTTTCAGCCGCTAGTTGTTGCTGCTGAATTGCCCCCAAACCAGCGCGCCGCCTCATTTTCAATAACAATCTACGAATTTATAGAAAACTTTTTGTTTGTTTTTTGGTTCGTTTGAATAAATAAGTTATCCCTGTTCCTGTATATATACGATAGGGCCAATATATTCAGTAATGTGCTAAGTTTTTGATGAAATTTAATTTTTTCTTAAGGAACTTGCATTAAAAGCGAGAATTTTGTCTTTAAAGAACAGCTGCTGTTGCGGTTAACAGAACAGCTGGCAAAATAAGGGGCAAATTTGACGTTTATTTGTTTACTCTAACGTAAACAATAAAAAGATCATACAATGGTAAATAAAAACAAAATTATGTCAAATAATTGCTAAAATGAAACGAATGAAGTGAAATGATTTCATTCTCCCCCCCAAAAAAAAAAGAAATAATTTCATATAATTCATATATTATTAATAATTAATATTATTAATATCATTAATTAATATTATTAATAATTAATAATTAATATTATTATTATTATTATTATTATTAATTTCCCCAGAGAAATCAATTTTAAGACTAAACTCTTAAAACACTAGCATCTAAGACTATCGGCTTTCATTAAAAACTCTACCGCACTTGAGATTCGAACCCACGACCATTGAACTGCTAGTTGAGTATATTTGTATAATTTCATAATAATTGGGAAATTTTGAATTGTGAACTTGAACTTTGAATTTAAATATATATCTTTTAGAAATTCGTTAATCTTACAATAAACATGATGGACACCAGGAAGAGATCTGTCAATCTTTTCTTCGTAATACCGTCGATACGATTGTTAGATGAAAGTATTTGAAGAGTAGAGGGCCACCAGCTAAATTGTTTTTTTTCGAAGTTAGTTACATAAGTTACATAAAAGCATAAGGCGTTAAAGATTTTAAAAGTGATTGGTCGGAGAAATTTGCCCACAGCCGAATATAACTTTTTTAATTATTTCTGTCTGATCTAGTTTTGAGGTAAGTAGATCACACTTAGAGAATGCTTTCAATCAAATACGGAGTGTTCATAAAATTCCTCAGCTTCCTACCTTCACTTTTGTGATTGTTGTAGTTCCACGCAAATAATGACTCAAACCGGTGGAAGTAGTTGTAAGCGAAACGTCGAATGTTGTGTTGTTAACGATTGGCAAGAGAGTTTCTATACCGTATACTAGAATAGAAGACTTTTGTCCACCGGAAGTCGGGTTATCGCCATCGTTCATGAGACAGTTAGGTAGCAAATGTCATTTTTGAATTTAGATCTGCTGAATTTATATCTGCTGATTCTCTCATCAACTTGCTATTGATGTTTTTCAGTTTATTGAAAGGGCCATTATGTGCCATATTTCTAGGTGTTTTATTTTTTTTACAAAGTTGATTGGTCTCGTACAAAATTATACATCCAGATATAAGTTTTTCCCGAGTAAATAATAGAAGATTTTGACTTTTACCTCCTGCTTTAACTTTTCTTCTGAGAAGTGGTATATTAGAGAATGGTTCGGCCCGAATGAGGAAATAAAAACCTACATGTCTTCTGCACTTCGATATTGAGTTATATTAAATCTGCTTTAAGTTAAACTACAAACTAAGTTTTGATTTGCAATTCATTTGAGAACACTCTACATTCGTTATTGCGACATTCATATGATAATGTGTAAATATATATGAAATTAAAATAAGAAAATATAAAATTCAAAGTTCATGTTCATATTTTAAAGTTTTCCTAAAAAATGAAAATTTGAAAAAAATGAAGACAACTTAAAACGAATTTTTACTTTCAAGTAGTTAATGTGAACAAACTCTGTCGTTCTTCTCCTTGACTAGGTTTAACTTGTTTGTATGGAATGACTTAAGCCCATCTTTGGCTGCTGCCACCATTCGCTCCTGATTATGTAATTTTCTCTCGGGGTAGTGCTGTTCGCTGATATCGCAGTCTGCCCAACGCGTCCTTGTTTAGTGGTTTTTTTTAAATTTGTTCCCCTTCGAGTGGCTTTGACGGTCAATGCTATTGACTGAAATGGATTTGTGCGCATAACCAACAAATACACATTGTTTTTATGGATGATATTAAATCATTCGCGCGCGCAAATTCATTCATCCCTACTTTTCTTGAAGCGATATAATTCACTTATTGCATTCGTCCTTTTTCTCTTTTTCGTGAAAGTGCCTATTAATGCACTTATTTCCACTTGGTTAATGTTATATTATTTTACTTATATATATACGTTGAAATAAGTATAAAACGATAAAAGAATTGCATAATGCAAAACTCGAATGGCTTTAAAGTTACCCTGTCAAATTTCCCAAATATGTGGGCTGACGTCTTTTCCATTTGTAGAGAATGGGGAAGACAATCATTGCAAAGTCTTGCCGCTAAGAGTTTTCTTGAACACTCAGTGGCGGATATAAAATTCAACTAAAATGAAAAAGCTACGATGATTTCTATATTGTTGACGATCGCTTTAAAATCAGCCGATGCTTTCAAACCCATACTTTTTTATTTTTATTTCATAATATGAAGAATGTAGCACTGCTATAGGGGACGTATGCATCTACAAGCACACGCATTGGACGGTATACGGGATAAGAAATGTCCATCAACACGTTTACTGCTTATCAATTATCATTTGAGGTTTAAAAGCCCTCCCACCTGTTGTCAATATGCCGAAATTCATATAATTTCGCGAAGTGAATCTACTTCAGTTTGACAAAAAAAAAACTAAAGCTTTAAGGAAAAAATTTTTAATGCAATCATTATTTTTACTTTATTTTATTTTATACTTGTAATATGTTTCTTAAACGTATAAACAATATTTTATTTTCATATAATTATTGTTATAACTAAAGAACAAACGCAATTAATTTTTCTTCCACGAGTTATTAAAAATATAGAAAAACAAACCGAGCCATTATGTAAGCATCCAAAATATAAAGACATTTATTTAATAAACACACATATCGGATGTTTGCGAATCAATTAAACATTAAAAAAAGAAAAGAAAAAAAAAGAGGAGTAAAAGTCTTACTTAGCCTTTGAGTTGTTTTTGAATTAAGCCCCGATAGGATGAGTGAATAAAATTATAAGTTACAAAAGAAAATTATTACATAATATTATCGATAAGAACCCATATGTTGTCGATGTGCGATACTATAAATTCAAGTATTGTGAGTGAATTTTTTTCCCTTGGAAAAGACTTATGAATTTTAGAAATTAACGTAAGATGGCTTTATAAAAAAGTTATGAATTATTAAATTTATGAAAAAAACGTAAAAAAAAAAGTTTGAATTCTAGTTTAAAAATAAGTTTTTCTTCAGTTTTTATGATGTTTCAGTTTTTTAAATGTTTAATTATGACAGTTGGTTAAACTGAACCTTAAATTTATATACTTAATTATAGATATAAATTTAAGGTTAAGTTTAACCAACTGTTAAAAAACGAAAAAAAAAAAAAAAAAAAGAGTAGAGCGGTCGCTAATTTAATCATCCATACTTTCGTTGTGTCGGTCAGGTGAAGCATGCCCGTTTTTCGGTGACACCGAACGCGATCTGGAACGTGATTTGTTATCGTTGGAAACTGAACGATCGCTGAAAGGGTAGGGAGAGAAAAGAAAAAAAAGCAAATACTTTTTATAATAATCGGCAGGGAAACGTATAAAGATTTTGAAAGATTACGAATTAGCGGACTTTCTGTAATAACAGAAAACGCCATAGTGAGGTAGAACCAAAATTTAATTTTAGTGATTTTTTTTTAAGGTTAATTAATATTGTCAAGTATGAGAAAGTGTTATTTGTGGAACAAGTGTGGTGGTGGTGGTGGTGGTGGTAGTGGTAGCACAAAATCAGAAAAGTAAAACAAAAAATATTTATTTATTAAAATCACATTCAGTTTGTGATAAGATAGTAATGCGTATATAACTTACCGGGAACGGGAGTCCCTGCGTGACTTGGAACGAGAGCGGGAACGTGATTCTCGCTTAGAATTGGAGCGGGAACGTGAGCGTGAATCGCGTTTTGGTGAACGAGAACGGGAACGGGAGTGAGAACGAGACTTAGATTTGGATTTGGATACCTCACGTGATTTACTATGAAGCAATGATTTATTAAAAATTAATGATATGTAAACCGATATCTCTCACTTACTTGGAACGTGAGCGAGAACGTGATTTAACTGGGGACTTGGACTTGGAGCGCGCGCCGCGAGATTTTGAACGGCTGTGCGATTTAGAGCGAGAACGAGATGAGCGTCGTGATCTAGAGCGTGTACGTCTACGGGAACGGGAACGTGAGCGTGAACTCGAAGATCCAGATTGTCCACGTCCTCCACGACCACCGCGGCCACTGCGCCGATCTTCTACCAAACGTATACGACGTCCATTCAAGTCGGTGTCATCCAACTTTTCAATAGCTGTCTTCATATCAGACAATGAAGCAAATTCCACCACACTGTAAGCGATAGATTCTTTAATAATTGCTGATAATATAAATTAACGCAAATTTACCCCTCGTTGCGTCTTTGTTTATGAGCATCCGCATAAGTAACTTCTCCAGCCTGGCGCATGTAATCCTTAAGGTCCTATTGAAATTTCGGCAAGACCACGCAGAATGACCAAGAAAAAGAATTGTGGAAAATTGCGATTGTTTAATACAAAATTCTTTGTAAATGGAGAGCAACACATTGAAATTGCAAGCAAATAATTTAGCATCTCTCTCCTGAGCAAAGCAAATCCTTCCATCATTTACTTCATTCATTCATTAAGTCTTCTATACAAGGGTCAGCTGCCTAAGAGTTTCTGATCTGATCTAAGCCAGTGGAATAAGCCATGAAGACCACAAAACTTCTCTCACTATTGTTCACCTTGGCGGTTTGTTAGAGACATGTTTGTTGTTCGAAATGCCAAACCATTTGCTTGCGCTTCTCTAGTGTTTAAGCTCTCTTGCTTTTAGTTTCTAAAATATCCGTTTTTAAGTAAAAAAAAAAAAAAAATACATAATTTTTGGTTTATAGTTAAAACAGTTCTTACTTAGGACATCATCATCTGTTTTAATTTTATTGGTACCAAACTAAATGACCAAAAAATCGACCGATCAATCTTTTTATAATTTGGCTGATTTTCTCTGTACGTAGATTTGGGAGTGTTTTTAGCTAAACAGGCTTTGCTTGAAGAGTCAGTCAATAAGCCAGTTTGAGTCCCTCATCATGTTTTTTTTTTTTTCTCAATTTACGTTTTAGCCTTATTTAAAGAGAGAAAGTCACATTCAAGCGCGTCATCTTATTATCATCATCACACAATTTGTCGTCTTCAGTTCCCTTAACTGAGAGAGAAGTGCAAACACCGAGTCGCTTATTCCAAACGGTTTTGTTTAGTTAGCGAGGAGGAAAATAAAGTAACCAATAGCTTCGATTGCCTATTTCTAGCGTTGACCGGGTTCAATGTTATGCCAGTTCAACCGTTTCAAGAAAGTTTTAAGAGAAACAACATCAAGTGATCGATTTTTTAGGGGGAGCAGAGTGAGACGTCGATTGTTGGCGCCATTGCCATTCACTGCCATATGAACCTCTAGTGCCAATAAAACGGAATGCTTGAGAACCCTATGTGTGGATGGATAACCAGTAAGATTGGCTGGGTGGTGTTGTACAGTGTATTTAGGAGGCCAACCAACTTTTCGGTTTAGATCAATCAGCTCGCTCAGAACAACGTACCGGAGCTTACTGGAAAATAAAAAGAAATTGCACCATGTCTCAATATGAATTGAGGACACAGTAAAACATAAGCTTATCATAAGCTCCTTAGCGACTGAACGCGTAATCATCTTGCAGACGAATGATGAATGGTGTGACCGTGTCATTGAGCAGAATTTCAAACGCCAAGGCTCGTCTTGAATGCACGCACCAGGGTTATTTTCAATACGGACTTGATGACCATTGGACCCATCATCATGATGAACGTGGCGTTTCAAATGTGCACTGACATTCATTTCATTGCCTCAGAATTACGAACGAATATATGGACCCGCTAGACCATTACAGTATGGAGAGAGTGAGTTCTTGATATTAGCCAAAGTGAACTTGAGTTCAATGACCCGACTGTCTGGTTTTTGCACATATATACCACATCTCCCTTGCTTTGGCAGTATGCACAGATCATCGCAGAGATTGTCAGTCTTTGATCCAAAACAGTGAGCAAACAAGATTTAACTGCGCATTTGGACCTCAGCACTTGCGCGAAAAAGAAAATTTAACATTTCTAAAATTAAATTCATTTATTGATATACATTAATTAAAGCTCGTTGTGATTTGTATATGTGTTATTTTAAGTACCTAATAACGTTGATTAACGAGACTCAACACTAACGTATAAAAAAAACAACTTCAGTATTTCAACATAATCAATCACGCCGTCAGAAATACACAACGGGTGGTGGGCTCTTTGAAGCATCTGCGCCAGTTCGTAAAAGTAATGCTGAAGTTGTCTTCTTTACAAGCAAGTGACTTCGGTCTCTGGCTTCTGCGGTTGAGTAACGATTTTAGTACAGAGTTTGTTGTTTGCAATAATCAAAACCAATACACACATCTTGTAAGTGGAAAACCCGTGCTTTAGACTGGCCAACAAGTTGTGTTTGACAGCTTTTATGTGCAGTTAAGGCAGGCTAGGCTGTTGATTATTGATTACGAAACGTCAGCAATTTTATGTGATAGTTCCCATTACTCTTGTATAGCTTGGTAGTTCGCTTTTCTCTCTAATTTATTTTTAATACGGTTGAAAAATAACCTCGTCTTTTGAGCTAGTCGGAATGATGGCTTTTTACCGGTTGCTCACTTTTTATTTTTTTTATACGTGATTGTTTGAATTTAATAATCTGATCTCTATACATAGCTTTCTCTGTCTCACTCGTCTATTGGCAAATTGATTTATTACAAGAAAGGTTTCTGTTTGCCCCGTTTGGCCTTCACATACACACACATGTACAAAATCCAGGGGGATTGAAGAAGAAATTATACCCTTGCCTCATACATTTAGTTTAATTATTTACTCGTCGGCGTCATCGCTTACGCACCTACATTTTGTTTTTCACTGTCTCACTCTGGCGCGCAAAGAGGTTTCTCCCTCAGCGATTATAGGTGATGGACGTGCCCTGGTTTGTAGCGGCGCATATCATTTGTTTGCATCGCGTATCGCACATCACACACACATTTCACAAAATCGAGCAGAGAACTAATTGGCAGAGTAGGTGATAGTAGTAGAGTTGGGTAGTTGGGGGAAATGATAACAACACACAACCGGTCAGTTTTTTTTTGTTTAGCATTTTCGATTTTATAAATGTAAAGTTAGAAATTTTTTTTGTTTTTTTTTTTTTTTAAAATTTACACAAAACAAGGATTTCTAGTTAGTTAAAAATTTCGGCCAATTGTTAAACGTAAAAATCTTTCTTAACAAAAAAAACTTAACAGAGAGAAATAATCAAAACACAAAACGAAAATTCTTGAATCGTTAAATAAAGGAAAATATTTATACATTAGAAGAATAGAGAAGAGGAAGGGTTTGCCAAACCATGCAGAGAGTTCTTTTTTCTTAGATTTATTAAATGTCGGAGAAAGGAGTATTAATAAAGGAGCAACTGTTAGTAAATGGATGTATATATTAAATATATGCAAAATATTTTAAAAAAAAGCTGGAATGGCCTTCGCTAATTAAACACAGTGATAAAGTTATCTTACTCCATTCAATAATTAAATCCAATTAAACTAATTTATTTATTTTTTTTTTTATGAGAAGCAACGCGATGTATTAAAACATTACATTCTTCGGCGGGAAGTGATATTGCGATTATTTTCGCGGTGTTTGAAGCAATTCGCAAATTCACAGAAAGAATAAACCGTAAGCCGTAGAAATTGTCATAAACGGTTCAAATAGTTTTAATACGAAATATAATAAGACTGGATAATCCAAGATAAAGTTAATGCGTAGATGCAAGCAATATAAATATAAATTTGCGTCAAAGATTATGTGGAATAAAACTTCTGATGAGGGCACACGAAAATATATTAAATGCTGCAGCCTATTCGAAACTTTACCAGGGAAGACTTTTACTGTACCCCTATCTCTACTAAATTTTTAGAGTATACCATGCCTTGGAATTAATCCATTTTCAAATCAATAAAGCGCGCGCGTACGTATGGTTTGCTCTACCTATAGTGCACTAGCACTAGCAATAAGGTGTCCCAAGAACGTTCTTAAATTATTTTAAGATTTGACATTCGCGTTATGTTCAAATTTGCTTTCTCCACAACTGTCCTCGCATTTCTGAAGATTCCACGGGAAACGAACTTTAAATCAACGCTCGAGCCATAAATTCAAGACGTGAAGAGTACTGCGCGCTGAAAACCCGAATCCATTAAATGAGATTAAAAATTACTTTCAGAAAACAATCTCGAAGCCTCCAACAAAACACGACATATTTTTAAATCGATTTTCTATCATAAAGCACCACTGAATTCGTTAAGAATATAAATCGCACGCTCACATAAAATTACATTTCAAATATTGCACTTGTTTTGAAAATTAAAAAAGGCACCTTGCATCTAAAAAAAGCTTCCTTGCTAGCTTTCCATAAAACACATATTTGGTACAATAAATATGTAAATAGTTACAAGTAATTCAGCATACGACGATCCTGGATTGGAAGAATGAAATGAATATATATATATTCCAAGTTTGAAAAACCGATAGTTTGCTAAATTTACTAAAATTGCAATGGTCTTGAACACAACAACAATATCTAGTATGTGCTATATGCAAAAGAGTCAGAAGCGTTCTTTTACGCGTCACTTTACTGCTTTTGTGAATTTTCACTAACTACCATATGGTGGCATTTGCTCCGACATAAATAGTTATTCTCCCATCTCCTGCACTTTATGCATGTATCGATGATATCTTTCCTGGAGGCCAAATACTATCAATTTGATAACATTTTTCTCCAATAATGCATAAATCAATCGTTCATTCATAACAATCGACAATTGATCTCATATCTTTGGGTGTACATACGCTCTACGTGTCACCACATTAACTGGAGGTTAACGCAAACCGAACACATCTCCTTCCCCTAAAGTAATAGTTTTGCATATATTCAATAATTAACAAAGTCAAACAAATATATAATTGACTTAACTTTCTCGAAATGTTAATCTATTTTACAGAGGAGTTACTAAGCAATTACAGTACGTTTCATTCAGTTGCTTCTTTTTTTTTTTTTTAATCAAGTACCGCTTTCGCATATTTTTTGTGTATGACTTAAAACATACCAAGCGAAAAGTACTGTTTTGAAGACTTCAAAAATAAAACAAAAAGCAAGAAAAACGCTACTAGTCTTATATTTATGTATCAATAAAATAATGTGCAAATAATGTGCATACAATAAAATGTGTACATACCTGCCAGCTGACACGGCTAGACAAATTCTCCACAATAAGTCGATATTCTGTGCGGAGAGGGGGGCCATAACGAGATGAAGATCTTGAATTTTTGTTTCTAAGGGACAAGTGAAAATCGTTTAGAGAATTGTAATATATATTAGCAACATTTATGCAAATGTAAACTTACTTGTCATTATAACGACCACCACCACCGCGTCGTCCACCATAACGATCATCACCATAGCGGTCTCTATGACTACCTCTAGCGGTTCCTCTAGCTGGTTCTACAACTACCCTAAAATAACAATAAAATATATTTATAAGGAAATTCTTATCAAAGTATCAATTATCTTTTAAAATTTACCTTTCACCTAGCAGCTCTTTCCCGTTTAATTCATAAACTGCGTCGTCGGCATCACGATAGTCTTCAAATTCCTATAAAATGTGAAATGACAATAATATGCATTCTATAAAACACACCCTTAAAGGATAAAAAAAAAAAAGCGCAAATGTCGATTTTTCTTAGCAAAGTGTCTTACCACAAATCCGTATCCATTTTTAATTAAAATGTCGCGAGTGCGACCATATCCTTTAAAAAAACGCTCCAAATCGCGTTCCCTAACGCCGTACGGCAAACCGCCGACGTACACACGTGAACCAACCATTATTTATGTTCTTAACTGAAATCATGAAAGCAGAATACATGCTATTAATAAGCATTTTTTCAAAAGTCAAAAAAAAAAATAAATAAAAACAAGATGGCGTCACCGGGTACAGAATTTTTCTTTGATTTGAATATCTCAATTCAATAAATTGTTTAGTTACTATTCAATATAATCAATTTGCCTTACCTCTGCGACTTCTAAAATGGACTTTAGATTTCAGTTAAACGTTTTTTATTATTCTCCACTACACCTGCCCGCAAATATTTCGCTGATTTCTAGCTCACACAAAAACGTAATGATGAACTCACACACGATGTATACAACGGAAATAAAGATTTTACATTCTCTTTTTCTTCTTCTTGAATATTTAACGAGTCAACAATGGATGATTCCCTGCACTATAAAAAAAAAAAGAGGCAGCGCGAATACAAAAGTCTTTGTATTCTATATAAAAGTCGGCAATTCTTTTTGAAGGAAATGTTTGGAAAATGAATTTAATTACATGGCGCTTTCATGTGCCAACTGCAACATCAAGTATATGCAAGATATACAACAAACCAAAATATTACAAAGCACGTCAAAAGTTCTTAAAATGAAACGCGTAATTATTATAAAAAATCAGAAATGAAACTTTGTCCAAAAAATATTATTAGTGCAAGATTAAAGAGTAAATTGTTTCACAGATGCGTGCGCAAAAAAATATATATAAATCTTTTTTATTCATTTATTTTTATGTGTTGTTTTTGGTTAGATTATACAAGGCTTTAATAGCCACTTTAAACTTTTTAGATATTTTAATGAAATTTGGTATAGTGACGCGTTTTCGCCCAAGGACGAACACTATTGAAAATGCCTTCGGATCGGTTCAATTTTTCGATCGAAAAAAATTAAAAATTTCGAAATTTTTCGGCAAAAGTGGCTAAGTGATAGTATTTTTGGCTGGAGCAATTATTGAAGCCACTCTCATATAGCGAAAACTGAAGCTCATACGACAAAAGGTATCGTAATAGTAATTTAACATAAAAAAATTTAACTGTTCCAAATTTGGACTATCTCGGCCTATTTTTTCGATCCTACACTAATAAAGGTTTTCACGAAATTTGATACTTTGTAGTGCAGAAAAGTCTAAGTTCTAACAAGTGACGATGGAAATTGAACCATAATACTGTAGTAATTTCATATAAAAATGAACTTTACGAAATATGGACCATGTACGCCTATTTTTAAATCCTGCCGTATGTAAAGATTAAATTTTTACTAAATTATTTTTGCATTTTGGGCCCGCTTGAAAAATATATCTTTATATATAAACAAGATATAATTATTGTGTTCTATAATAAAAATAAGAATTGGTTGGTGTATGGTACTTAATGATCGGCGTTGCCCGGAGCGGGAGTGGGAGCTACTTGGTTTGAAATAAATTTCGAGTGACGAAAGACATATGCAACCAAGTGCCTTTTAACGTATGTCTTCCAAGTGAGAGCTAGGTAACTAAAAGGTACATGATTAGTGCTCAGATAGAATATTTTCACTTGAGAAATGTACAAAATAATTCCAAACATTCTGCCCTGTGTGTTATATGATTAGTATGCATAAAACGGAAATTTAGTTAGCTTTTATTTTGTGTGGGCATGGCAGACTTTTCTCATTTTTGCATATAAGTAGGAGATAATTGGTGAGTGCTGAGCAAAGACCCACAAATTTTTGCCTAAAGAAACAGTGTTTATTGCGGGCGTGCGCTCTGACCTATTTTCCTGTTTTCAATTCAATTTTAGCCAACACGCACAATCTTCCAATTTTTTTACAACACACACCAGACAGATTCGTCCTTTTCATATAAATGAATGTCACCAAAAGCAATAATGGAGCTTTAAACATGTCTTACAACCACTTTTCGGAAGCTCAAAAGCTGAGAAATATTACCTCGGCGCCTTTGTTAGTTCGACTTATAAAAAAATTAGTAAAATAAGGTCCTCTAAAAAAATAAAAGACTTAGATCTTCAAAGTTAACATTTTTCATTTAATATTGTATTTGCATTTAGCAATTATTATCAATTATAGATTAAAATGTAGAAAAGAAAAAAAAAATTGTACAAGTCTTAAAATATATTTTTAATTATCTATGCTATTCCGAATTGGACATATGGCTTGCTTATTGATTTTATTTTGGTAAATTATTATTACATAAAAATTATTCTAAACCTGTTATAAAATAATAGTTTTTTTAATTTTTTCTTTTTTTTTTTTTTTAATCAACTAGTTTTTTAAATATTGATTGACTGTCGTTACTTTGATATCATGTCTGGTTAAATTGATGCAATTATTTGCTTCAAACTCTAAATGAATAACTTGAACTGGGGTAACTTGCATAAAACCATTGCACGATAACTTGTATTTAGAAATATCGGAACGTAGCAATTCGACGTAAACAAATAATGCCGGATATTTTGCAGATACCGTTAGACTGTAACTATTTGTCTTCACATATACGCTGGAACTGCAATATCTATGAGAGATTTCCAGCTGCAAAGAAAATTGAAATATTAAAAAGTTTCCTCAATGAATAAATTAATTTAATAAGAGCACGAAACAACTGATTGTGGCCAACTTGAACTCTGGTATGTCCGCTACCGTTATTCTAAAATAGAATATGTACATTTTTGTTGTTTTAATTTATGAGGGGATGAGCAAAAAAAAACGACTAGGCTCTGCTCACAGTCTATGTTGCGCTACGGATTTGTCCTCGAATTGACTTTGCATATTTTTAATATCAATCTGTGCGCAAGAACTTCCAGCGGATCTGCCGATAGATTCATTTTTGTAACCACGAGAGAGAGTTTACTACAACGATTACACAGACAAACAGACGGATGAACGGACGGACCTGGTTTTAATCAATTCACAATTTGATGCGAGCGAATAATATATGTATTTTATGGGGATTTTCAACATCCAACCAGCATGCAAGAGTTTCCAGTGTATCTGGCGATAACTTCATTTTAGTGGTCAGGAGAATATTTA